TCATCGCAAACTGGTTCGGTCAATGAAAAAACTTACAAAATTTGAAGCTTCATCGCTTAATTGGCTTCAATGAAAAAAGTAAACTTTTCGTCATCTCATTCGCTACATGAAATAGCTTAGAATATCTCGAAGATTCATATCTGGAGTAGCTTGCTTAGAAAGTTTTTAACTTTGCGCCATCTGATTTGATCATGAAAGAACTTAAATCGTTTTAAAGCTTCATAGATTGATTCCGGCGGAAAAACTGCGTTTTCGGCAGCAAAAGAATGTTTTTCGGCAATAATCAGTTTTTTCTGAACTCTTACTTAAGTTGTAATTTTAGTTGTTAACAATTTCAGTTTTGACTAACGTTCTTCTCTAAAATGGGGGACAGTTCAAAATGCGGTCAAGTAAAACAGAAAACTTTGCCTGGAAAACAACATTAAACTAGCCTAGATCTCAAAAGGGGATATCTAATTCAATCTACTTAGTCTAAATCGATCTAATTAGTCTAGAAAAATCATTTGATACCAAAATCTAACTAATATTGTACGCTATTAACAGGATAAACTAGCTATTCGGTTTTAAAATTTTTCTCCAGCAGTATATTCAGCGCGCTTGTTTGAAATGAATACTCTATGCGGAAATAGTTATCAGAATTAATACATGCTTCGGGAGGACATTCTACGTTAGGTCACTTAGGGGAGGAAATTGTTCGGCTGATACCATAAAAGCAAAGACTACAGCTAGTAGTCTATTACTTGGATTACATCATCCAGTACATTCCACCGATGATAAAAGTAAAAGTGTAACTGGTATTGTACAACAACTATTGTCACTTTCAAAACGATTGTCATCCCACGTTGAAAAAGTTTGTAATCCTTTTAAAATTCATTGCTAATTATTGGAATATTTTTAGCTCCAAAGAACATGCTTTACGTAGTCGATGCTCAAAAATCACTCTGGCGCTCAACCAGAAAGTATGGTTTAGTAGCCGGACTGGACCAACCGTCGGCTAATTTGACTTTCATCTTAGAAGACAGCTACAACATCAATCTGCAAGTCCTTGACTTCAAAAGGAACCAGCACTTGATTCTCTTTCACTGCAGAGAACGGTATGGAGGATACCTGAAAGTTAGGTTCACCTTCAAAATGATGTGGGTTCTCTCACGTTACCCGAATATGTCTTCAGCGGAACTGAACGAGTTGCTGAAAACTGCAGACGAAAGAGCCAAGGTCAAAAAGTCCAGAGTTCAGAGGAGTCGCACGGGCTCCTGTGGGACTCCAAAATCTTCCCTGTATAATATTGCACGTCAAAATGGTTTTAAAATATGAAATCAATTATATACTGAAAAATCTCCTTAATGTTATCACTGTTAATTGGACTGATTCAATGTCACTGAACCAAGTTTTGCGCATTTTGGTTTTTCCGCGGACCGTTTTTAAAATTGCTTACGGTCAAAATTTGTTTTTGGTTCGCTCCAGCTGCATTTTGTGAACGGAAGCAAAGCCTGGGTATCAAGTCTCAATGGGCCTATAATTGAGCTTGACAATTTATTTCTATTTTTATTATCACGATTTTAGGATTTACATTGGCAGTTATATATCTTTCCTTTGATGTATGTTAGCTGTTGACCACACTCCATATTTGAAACTTTAAAAATTGTCATAATGTCAAAAAAGTTTTAAAATCTAATGAACTTAAAGGTGTCTATTTTTGGTGTCTATGAAGTTTACCAATTGATACGAAAACTAGAAACCAAATTTCTTTTTTGTTAGATTTAAACTCTTAATACAGGAAATCCATTCGTCTAGTATAAAAAGTAACGTATAAAAATGATGGCAAAAATTTTGATGCTTTATTGCACAAGTTATTTGAAAACTGCATGAAAAACAAAGATTTTTAGAATCTTGTTACCTATCCCCCTCCCCTTTCGACCTTGTTAACTATCCCCCCCTGTGCATATATTCTTTTGACAACTATTCTGTGTAAAATAAGCATTTCAAAATTGTCAAAATTTTGTTGGGTTTTCATTTTTGCGCGTTCGTATTTATATTACTCACTATTTATATAATACCTACATAAAAATTTTTAAATAATTATATTTTCTGAAAATTGTTTTAAGCTATTGAAAATATGGCAGCCAATGTTGAATTTCTCAGAATCGAAATAGGGGGATAGTTAACAAGATCCGATTTTCAAATTACTGATTTTCATCATTTTCATGCTACGGTGCTCACTTCTTTGTAATCTTCCTCCATATCGAGTATCAAAAATTTACAAGAGAAATTATTTAAAGTGTCACAAAAAGAAACCGAAAAAAAAACATACTTTAAGTATTTTCAAAAAATTAAATCTTAAAATTTTACCTAATAATTTCAAAGCTACAGACATATTTTCACCGGCAAAGGATCATTTGATACTCCAAATGTTTGTGCGTGCTGCTTCCGAGACTGTTTTTATAGATAACATTTTTAACATTACTAAACTTATGTGTAGGTAGGTTTATTTATAGTATGTATACGTACCTTATTTTTCAGCATTATCCTTGTTTGTTTTTCCCATTCTCTGCAACGCTGTTTGTCCGCATTGTATTAAATAATCTAAATTTTTCGAAGTTTTGCATCCAAAATTTTTTCTCTTGAAGGTAATCCTGGATGGAATACAATAATCAAGAAGATCTAATTTTAATACATGACAGCCAAATCGCGACTTAATTTCAACTAGGTCGAAAACATGTGACAAAGACCCTGGATAAAACTAGAGCCACGAAAAGTTTGTTTGTCTTGGATTTACAACGCATTTGAAACGACCTGATTATAGATAGCTTACAAAAACAAAACAAGACTGCTCGTATCGGGGCAAAACCTTGAATGTTCCAACTGCCTTTTAAGGTCTATGGAGCAGTAATAACATGAAAAACCAAATGTAATCAAATGAAATGCAAAAAAAAATTAATTTGAGTTTTTTTTGTGAAAATTATCCCTCCACACACCATATAAAAAGATTCCTTGAGTCAATTTAGAATGATTTCTCAGACGGATTAAATCTCCAACAATACTTTTTGAATGATATGAATATGCGGATAATTTTGGCACAACCTTGTATATTCTCTCATCATTCTCTATAAAAAACGCCTTAAATCCTTTATAATCGATGATAATGGACTATATTGACATGAAAAATATTGGAATTTTCCTCAATTTATAACGTTCAGACAATCATTGTGTAATTTTACTGTAGTGTAAATTGAATAATAAATTAATTTAGTTATCATGAACTCTCGCATGATCGTTTATGAAGTTCGTTGCGGGTTTTGTTGAACAATTGGTACACACTCTACATAAGCTGAGTTACAATAATTGTATCCGTGAGGCGACAATTCTTAAATGGTGACAATTTGTAACAGACGACAGTTCATAACAGTAGATTGAGCGGGGAGAACTGATTCACGCGCAATATTCCTCTCATGCCGGATGTTAGTGCTTCAAGCGTATTCTACCTGCCAATGCCTTGTTACGAATTGCCGCTTGTTACGAATTGTCGCCTTTTACGAACTGTCGCTTGCTACGAATTGTTGCTTGTTACGAATTGTCGCCTGTTACAAGTTGTCGTCTGTTACGAGTTTTCGCCCTACCAATTGTTGTAGATTATATCAAATATACTTTTCTGAGCATTTCTGTAAGTAGTTCAAAGGTTAATTGATACTGCATAATGCAAAAACAAAAATGCATTACTGTTTGCTCAAACTGGGTACCATTGAGGTGTAAAGTTTCAGTTTTGTTTAATTAGAATTTAAACAGTATAATAAGCGTGGCACAAGTTGAGCCCATATTCAAATGCAAAAAAAAGCTTTTGAGTTTCGGTTAATTTCCGTTCGAGCTGGCTTTGTTTTCTTTAGGTTTTCTTGAAGATGAAATTTGATTAAAGACATTTGGAGATTTGTTGTTGAGAAAATTGATTTGGATTAATTTTTGATTCAATGAAAAATGATCAAGCTCCCAATTTTGATAAATTTTTTTTACAAATTGTTTAAGAAAAGTAGTTTTTTCTTGGATACCCAATTTGCCTCCAAATCTAGTTTTTTGTACTCCTATTTAAACACTTTGAGGTGACTGTAGTTTCAAGCACGTATAGTTCTATAGAAGAGATAAACTTGTGACTAATCCTGATCACACCTGTTTAGTTTCGCAATTACAATTGAAAATACGATTGTTTTGAAAACTTGACACTAATGATCTGTTGCAGATTCCATTAGAAACACAATTTCTGGTGCAGTACCAATTCTCTCGGTTGAGAAAAAACACCCTACAACCACTAGTGTTTAAGAGTGAACCAAATTCAAGTCAATTAAAATTTCAATTTGTCAATTATTTTGAAGTTAAAATAGACTTAAAATTTGTTCGTTGAAATACAATTAAATGTGAGTACTCTTAGGTTGATCTCACTAGGGAAAGACGCTCACTGAAATGCGATTCAAATTTTTCAGTTTAACCAATAAATTAGGATTTTGCATACTCGTAGTTTTTAAAGGGTAACAAAAGAACCATAAAGAAATAATATTTTTATGTTTATGATTTTAAGCTCAAGTAACTTTCTTGTTGAAAATACCTCGAATTCTGAGACAGTTTTATTTGTGTCCAGAAAGAACGGATTCTAGGATTCTGAAGTTTCGCGGAAAACACAGTCCTATTTTAGCCCCGGGTTAATTTCATGTTAGAGTATAAAATTAGACCGTTATTTTTCTTATTTGCTTAAGTGGTGCTCTAAGGGTTGGATAATTCTCCCTGAAACAAAATAACTGACAACTCAAAACTTCGAAAAAGCTACCAAGTCAAACTTCAAAATACAAGCTAATTTCCTGAGGGCTTTACGAGAAATAAATAGACGGTCAGCTGTTTTTAAAGAGGAATGCTTGAGTGAGTTTATGTACATTATTAGGACTGGAAATTGGTTTTTGTTTTAGATTTAAGCAACAAAAACAGATATTAAATACTGAATCTGACACGAAACAAACAAACGCAAAATTGCCCTTAAAAGTCAAGATTTTTGGGTCCAAAGTTCTCAACAATTGTATGTTTTCTTCGCCAATTATAGAATTATGGTACTAAGAAAGCCGGAGTTTCTTTTCATGTTGACTGCAACCTCTTCTAGAGCGGAAAGAGCAGTTTTAGAAAATAACTTCAATGCAAGTAGTCTCCTACACACTGCTGTTTGTTTTGGAAAGATTTACCTGGTTTAATTTATCATTATTAGCTAATTGCCTCCCCAAAAAGCACATTTGCAGAAGAAAAATCTGCAATTAATTAGTTTTGAGGCAGTGATTCATTAAAAATGTAAATAAAAAAATTGTTCAAAAATTAATTTTTTCAATCCTTTTATTTTGTGACATTAGTTAACATTTCAAATGAAAACTAATTTTTTGTTATTATAATCCAAACACAATCAACTGTTTGCGATTAATATTTAATAAGTTATGATTGTTAATCTAAGTGAAGTTAAATGAAAGTTATTAAAATTTTTTTTTCTAGTTTATCGTTTCTTTTCCTGAGACTTGTTTTAATTTCCCTCTTCGTTGATGAGATTATTCACGTGACCTCCCAATATGCCAATAAGGGGGAGGAGCAAAGTTGTTGTTGTGGACGTGCCATGTACAGGGTAACCTTCCAGGGTTTCTGGAAACCAGAGCCGGGTAGTCGACTCGACCCAGGTTTGTACATAGCTTGACTAATCACATTGAAGTCTAAAAAGTGTATGTTGACATTTTTTACTTGCTATTTTCCCTATTTCTTCTTTTTACGACAAAACCCGTGTCGAGGTTTGCAATTTATGTTTCGACCGACGAACACATGTCAGAGTTCGACTGTAGATCTATAGTCGAGAAGGCACTATAGTCAAACTCAAAGTCGAAACAAACATATTCGAACTTTTCGTCGAACACATTAAGTTTTTTTTCAGTCGAAACTTTTTCCCTCGGTCGAACAAACGAAATGATTTTTCTTGGTCAAAACGCTTATCGGTCAAAAAAAACCTTTGTTGAACTTAGACGAAAAGTTTTTTTCTCGGTCGAACCCGGACGAAGCGTTTTTCTCGGTCGAACTTGGTCCAAATGTTTTTGCTCGGTCGAGTTTCGTCGAAATGTTTTTCCTCGGTCCAACACAGTCAAAGCATAGACAGATTGAATCGAGTCGGTCTAAATATATCGAGCCTGGGTCAAGACGGTCAAAACTCTTGTAAATATATCCTATCTTGTAAATTTATCCTATCTTGTAAATATATCCTATCGCCCGGGTCTAACTGGCGGAAATATGATCAGACCGAAGTCGGTCGACCAGCGAATTTTTACAGGCCAAAAATACGCTCCCGATATTTATCAGATTTTCAAAGCATCATATTGAACTTCAGTCTGATGGTCAAAATAGGGTCGATACACGGGTCGAACTAGGGTCAAACTTTGGTTGCAACAGGGCCAAATAAAGGCGATATCAGTATCAAATTAGAGTCAAATCACGGTCAAAGTAGAGTCAAAGAAGATTCGAATCAGGGTCGAACTAGAGTCGAATTAGAATCAAAAACCGGCATATAATTAAAAACGTTCTTGAAATTGCCATAAAAACTGATTTGAAGCTGCACTCAAGTGGCGGTAGCTTGCGAAAAGATCCGGATTTTTAGCTCGAAGCAAATTTCTTCACCTCACTGATAGCTACCTGAAAGCTATCACGAGAAAAACTGAATACAAACCAAAAACTATACAAAACACCTACATACATTTAAAAAGTTCTAAAGCACACAGAAAGGCAACGTAAAAATTTATTTATAGTAATCATTCAATAAGTAATAAAAACTATAATAACCATGAAACTCTAGATAAAAAAGGTTTGTATTTAAAAAATTTTTGTTTTGTTTTCGCAATCTTGTTTTCTTGAGTCGGAGTTATTTATCCTGAAACGAGTCGTCTTAAGTTTCGTAGCGACTGAAATTTTATTTTCGTACCAGTAGCTGCTTACTTGAATTTTAATATCATCTGCTATGATGCTATGTTTTGAAACAGAAACTACCCGGGTTGACAAAAAATGCTTATCATACTATTTCATAGACCAAAAAAATACTATGAAAATAGCATGATAAGCTTTTTTCCATTCTATGAAATATTATGATAGGCATTTTTTCCATACCATGAAATTGTATGACAAGCATTTTTCCATAAATGAAAATACCAAAAAATATGTGTTTTGAAATTTTGTGTTTCATTCGAAACACTAACCCTGGACTTTTTGTCATAAGAAAACCCAGAGTGTAACTGGCAGTTACCACGCAGATAAACTAAATTTGGTGATTTTACCCTCCTAACACCTACGTTAATTTTTTCATTTTCATATGGAAGTATATTCCAAAAATGTAACTTTTTGTATATGGCTAGCTAATTTTTGGTTTGAAAATTTTGGTAGTTGAGAAAGAAAGGCCTGTTTTTTTTAAAATATTTTTAATCCTAGCAAATAAAATAAAAAATTAATAATCGGGTTTACAAAAAAAAACAATTTTTTGTGATTTTTGGATTTTTTGGGTCAAAAACTTATCCTGGACTACGTTATAAACACAAAAAGTCACAATTTGCATGCAAATTTTTTTCGCAAAAGTTTATATTTGAGCGCAAAAGCAAGTTAGCAAACAAAAAAGGGATTAAAAACTTCTCACCTCTAATTTTTGTTTTTGCTTATGAAAAAATGCATATACAATTTTCATATATGAAAATTATATGATTAGCAGTTTTTTGACCAAAATGAAAATCATGTTTTTGAGAGTCAAAATGCATTCTTTCAAAACTATTTTTCTTAAAACTCATGGAAATTCATCCAGAAACATCGTTGTTAAATTAATTTTGAATATTTTATTTTTTCTATAGCAAAATGCCTGTCATACAATTTTCATAAAGAAAATATTATGATAAGCATTTTTTGACCAAAACTAAAATCATGTTTTTATTGAGCAGAAAGATTCAAAAGACGGAAGTAGAACAGACGTATTTCTCTAAAACGTTTAATACAGTTTTTAAATTTTGTATGAAAATTGTATGATAAACATTTTCTTCATAGTCGCCATATATAATTTTTTTTTCTTATTGACGTCAACCCGGGTAAACTTGACGATCGTTTCTGAAAAATTTATAGAAGACCATGTCTCGGCAAATTATCATTTTGCCTCGACCTCGGTTTGATTACAAAAAACTGTCTATAAATGCCGTTTTTGGAAACTTTACGGGCGTTTTTGACCAAGCAGTGGCATTTTTTTGCTCGCTCCCCCTGTCAAATTTTTATTTTCTCCAGGAGCACTTTTAGAGAAATTTCAAAGCCGGTCCGATATTGTACCAGCAGAAGAAAGAACCCTTTGGAAGGCGAGAGGGTTGAAATCAGCGAGGTGTGTGGGGGTTGGAGGGGGGGTATATACAGAAGACACATTACACAAGACTTCTTTGAACATCGGACTTAATTGCGTTTTATAACGGCTGGTTCAAACTAAAGACATCATTAAATATCAAAATGTTCTAGACTTAAAAGAGCAAAAACTACTTATTGACAATTAATTAGACTAGCCTGATAACTCCAAAAGCAGCTCTAATTTGCATGTTCACCGACTCTGTAGGTATTTTCTTCTAATCAAAACCCATTTTGGGGTTTCGCTGCAAGAGGTATCAGGAGTCCTGGACATGTCAATCAAGACCTAGACCAAATACGCCGTAGGTAATTGGTAAAGAACACCAGAGTGTAAATGAGATCAACAGCCAAACAATGTTTGTTTATGCTGACGTTAATTTGGCGTACCTATTTTAAATGTTCAGTGAAAAAGCTACAATGGTTGTAGAAATATCTAAAATGATTTTGTGAATTAAGCAACCATAAACATGTTCTATTGAATTAAAATGGAAAAAAAGCGAATTGAACACTGAACACTATCTTTTTTCTCCTAGACTGATTTAAACGATCCGTACAAAACTTTTTTAAGATTTTGTCACTTTTAGATAAGGTTAGGTTTAGATAAAAAGCAATGGTGACCTCTATGGCTCAGAATTGTACCAAAGTTAATATGCTGCAACTTGTTTTCACAAATCAACACCCTACCCAAACCACATAAACACTCTACCCAAAACACAAAAAAAAACATTCTACCCAAAAAATGGAACAATCTCGACTCGATTTGTTTTTTTTTGTAGCAGGTTACTAGTCGAACGATATAACATAGAGGTTATTTGAACCTCTATGTTATATCGTTCAAAATTTTTTTTTGTTGATTGCTGGTATATCGATATCAATATATGCTAAAAACTTCTTGAAATACATTTCCATACAATTCCATGCGTACAAAAAATTGTACACCAAATCGTTATGTTAATCATTTTTTCCATATTTGAAAGTTGTATGATAAATACTTTTCCATAAACCAAAACGTTGTTTTTTTTCTAAATTCAACTTCTAAAAAATAAATTTTGGGTTGTTTTTGTAACCGAACACAAGTGACAAAGACCTTGTTTTGCTCAAAAAACCAAAAGTTGGGCGGTCTTGCGTTTCTAATGCATAGAAAGCGACCTGAACTGTTCTACAGCTGTCTTGCATATTATATAAAGAGAGTAACAAAATTTTTAAACTTTGGCAAAACTTTCTAACGATGATTCTTTTTGAAATTTGATTTTTTTATTTATCGGAGATTAATCCAGGCATGCAAAAACATGCCATACAAAAAAAACAGGAGTTTGCAACGTTTTTGAAAAATATATATATTAAACGAGAAGGAAAAAAGTCCACTATTAGTGTATCCAGGACTACGTTATATACACAGAAAATTAAATTTTGCATTCAAAAACATTTTTTTTGGAAAATGCTTGTTTGAGCATAAAGTTCGATTTGTTAAGAAAAAAACAAAAAAAAATTTTCTGGGGCAATTTGAAAATTAGTAAAAAAATGTTTGTTTCGCCATCAAAAAAACGCTAGTCATACAATTTCCATTTATGGAAATTGTTAAATAAGCCTTTTTTGAAAAATAAAAACAAAAACCTCGGTGTTTTCATCACCAGACTGTTTTATTAGAATCAAACAGCTGCTGAAATTAGCTTATATCTTTTTTCAACAATTTTTTGAAATTGACAAGCTTTTTTCCATACACTTAATGTATGGTGGAATTGTATGATAAGCATTTTCAGTATATGGAGGTGAACCCAGGTTGATTGTAATTCATATGGGTACCATCATTTTGAATTGATTGAGATTCAACCAGCTGATCTTCAGAACAAACATTTAGACAAGTAACGTTATAGATTAACTGAAGTATAAGAATGCTAAATCAGATAATTTTGATAAGTTCATTTGGTCTGAGTACAAATTGTTGCAGGTTACTAGTCGAACGATATAACATAGAGGTTATTTGAACCTCTATGTTATATCGTTCAAAATTTTTTTTTGTTGATTGCTGGTATATCGATATCAATATATGCTAAAAACTTCTTGAAATACATTTCCATACAATTCCATGCGTACAAAAAATTGTACACCAAATCATATGGGTACCATCATTTTGAATTGATTGAGATTCAACTAGCTGATCTTCAGAACAAACATTTAGACAAGTAACGTTATAGATTAACTGAAGTATAAGAATGCTAAATCAGATAATTTTGATAAGTTCATTTGGTCTGAGTACAAATTGTAGCAGGTTACTAGT